TAATTATAATTATATTATATTATTATTATTATATATAATTAGAGTGGGAATATGTCTAAAATAAATATTATTGGAATATAAATACTAATTTTAAAAATCAGATTTTTTTGTAGTAAAGACAGCATAAAAACTGTGAAATTTATTTTATCATTTAGATATACTGGAATGATGTTCTATCACAATATATTGCTAACTATGGAAAAGGTGCTAAAGCAGTGTGTGTAGTATAAGGTTAAGTTTTTAACTATGAATTGAGACAAGGTTCTTCCTCCAATGTATCATCTTCAAGGATACATCTTTAAGGTCTTGAGGCTGCAGTATGAGACAAAATGGAAATATGAGTTTCCTGGAGGTTTGGAGAAAAGATGGCACATGGGGCTTTCTACAATCGTTTGGAGCACAGTAGTTCACTGTAGACCTTCGCCCTGCTGACTGCCGGGAGCCTTGCTAGAGCAGGCTATAGCTACCTTGTAACCAGTGCTTACTGCCTGAAGTTCACAAAGAAACATTTTGCAGGAAGCTCATCCAAATTTTACCAGCTGCCAATAGTATCTCTGCTTTGATGGATACTTTTTGTTGATGCCTCTGTCTAACTAACAGAGCTACTAGGAAAAATAAGGTTTAGTTTGCAGCCCTCCTGCTGGGTCCTGTATACTTTGTTATCTTGAAATAGCAGCCCTTTTGAGGGTCATCTCAGACAGGTAATTGAAAAAGACACAATTGTTTAGCTTAGAATAAAGTCAAGAAATGGTCTAGTGTAATCTGTTCTGTCTCGTTTGTGTTTGAGGAAAGTCAAATGAGTTAAAAGGTGGCAAATTCAAAGAAAATAGAAATAAATTATTTTTCCTTGGAACCCATAATTTAAATTGAAGAACTTACTGGTTGTCCTTTAGGAAGGGAAGCAGGATTCACCAGGAAGTTGTACTTTTATCTAAATAAAAAGATTATAAAGAGTTAGAATTATTCATGGTATACAACATTTATATTCAACATTTAGAAGAGAAACTATTTTGAATTTAACCCTGAAATGCAAGACTTATTTCTATGGGAGGCTGAATACACAACTGTTGATATTTACTGATTGTTCTATAGTGGTTTGTATCCTCTTTGAACCCTCTTGCTCTAGTCTCTGTTGAGATAGGATGTTGGATTAAGTAGGCACTGGGAGCACCCTAAACGACAATTCCTATTTTTCTCTATAAATGTATATTTAAAAAAAAAAAAAATCCCAGAAACCTGTATGTAAGAATGAGGTGGGCTGGAGAAGCGTTGGAAAGGAAGTAAGGGAGACAGAGTGCCAAACAAATTAGCCATTTGAATTACTGACTAATGGTATAATTCCACTGTTAGTTTTGTTTGTTTGTTTAGGTTTATATAGATTTTCATAATGCTACCCGTTGCAATTAGTTGAAAGATAATCTGTTCACATCCTTAGACTATGTGGAATCAGAGACTGGGAAAATGGAATCAGCAGACAAATTACTTTAGGGCACTAACTTCTTTCTTTTTGATTATTTATTTTTTATATTGTGTTGCATCACAAAGGTAAAAGCTTTTAATAGTATTCTACAGGGATCAACAATCTTCCTTTACTCCTATCATTACTTTTTGTCTTTCTTTGCAAACCATGCTTCTGGGTTGAATTCTGTTCCAATTTCTTTCTGAGATATCTTTCTGGAACAAAGATAATGGGAGTAATAGGAAACATCATTAATAAACCAAGTCTGTATGAGTAAGCTTCTTAAAGGCAAATACATTTTCAAAACTATCTTTTCAATTACTAAATAAGTCTTTAAGTTTGCACTGTTCTTATTTTGCTTGACATCCCCTTGAGGTAAAGGTCTTTTAAGGTAAGAGCTTATGTTTTTGTTTATTTGGTTTTTAATACATCTAGCAGATGCAGCTGATGCTGCAAAAGATGCAAGTGTGAGTAGTGACCATTCACAAAAGGATTAAGGTTTTTTTTTAAATAAAAATCAATATTTAAAGTTACTGTGTATTAATGCAAACAAGGCATTTGTTTAAAAGGTAAAATTTGAAATATTTACCTGTGGAAATTAAAGGTTCTATAGTGAAAAAAGAAAGACAATTTAAGATTTTTTTTTCTGAATTCATCAAAGTTCTGGTTTGCTTATAGCAATTCACTATTCACAACAAGTAAACATATCTGTGTGCCAGCTTTGTTCTTTTGTGTTGTATGTAAGTTTTATCAGTTTAGAGCTCAGTTTCACCTTGCTATGAATTTTGGTTCCTCAGCTGTCGAGGATGTTCCTGAGAAAGTAAATGAAGCCACAGAGCCAGGTACGTATTTTGTAATTGAGATCTTAAAGTGTTTCAGTGAAATATATGCATTTTAAAGTGTGATGTAAAAAATGATAATCATATCCTTTTTCTTTTTATACTTTCTTTTATAGATGAAGTTACTGAAGATTTGGAGATTGATGAGAAGCTGCCAGGTATGTTTTTTTAATAGTTCACTAAAAAATATTTTTTTCCTCTCATATTTGTTAATATGATGCCATATGTGTCAAAAACACATAGAAACGTGCTTTATGAAGTACTTCTTCATAAGATGTACTTATGAAGTACATCTTCATACCAGCTTCACTTCGAGAGGTAGAGTATGTTAATTTCCCAGATTAGTACTCAAGAAAACTAATTTGTAAATTTTTGCATTTGTTGCACCAGTGCCAGGGAATTTCAGATGAGTACCATGTAAAATGTAATTCGAAGCTGTGCTCCAAGAAGGTCGAAGCAGCAATGAAGAAGATTTTTTCAAACATGTATTCAGTTCAGTCAGATACAAACAAAGTGATCTACGAAGGAGTTTGATCTGAGCGATGATGGTAGAATTTGATGCCATTTCATTAAGTTTTTCCATTTGAAAAATATGTTCTAATATAAGTAATTGGGGAAGTGATCACTGGTGTTTCACCAAAATAACAGTTGTAACCAAAATCACCTCAGGGGTAATAGGAATTAAAGTCAATAATTAAGAAGGGCTAGCCTTTTGGACATGAAATGTGTTCGATGCCTTTTTTCTAGTGTTGAATTAACCTAGTTGCTTGTTCTGCAGTTTAACTCCTTATAGTTTGGTATTGCTTTGATGGGGGGGAGAAACAAAAACAGAATTGTAATGGTACTGTGTGCAACTTTCATCGTTAATTTTCTTTGTAACAGTAGAAAGTAAACATACAGAAGATAGCATGGCCACTGAACCTGAGGAATCAGGTTTGTATAGTATGATTTGCATGAATTTACTACTTATATATGTAATCAAAGTTTGAGAATGATGAATACTGTAGAATAGAATCGTGTGCTACAATGAAAATACATTCATAACTTCTCTTTCTGTTTCTGCAGCTTTTTTAGTTTAACGACAAACGTAATGATGTGATTGTTGGAAGCTAACGTGTTTTCATATTTTAATGATTTTTTTAATACTTTGCATAGCACTAGTCAGTGTTGAAATTTGAGAGTTCTCAGTTCAGACAAACTTATAGCAATAAAAATGGCCATATTAGATCATGTGAAGATGAAGTTTTCCTGACTGTGCTGCATCTGCCACTAGTCAGCCCATAGCGCATACTCAAAAAAAGACTATATCTAGAAGTACAATAAGTGGAATGTCCACCAGTTTTGTGCAATGTACTTATGGACTTTCTGAGCCATGGAACATATTCCCTTCTCTTTTTCATATTGTCTACACTTAGCATCCTGGCTATTATGAATTCTCTTCTGTTGTGCCTGACTCCTTCCATGCATGAACAGGGAGCATAGGTATTCAAATCAGTGCTAAGAACTGCACTCTGAAACAAGGTGTCCGAAGAAATGGCTGTAATTTTGCTGGATTTAGCACCTGGTGTTTATGTCATATTCATCTATCTGGAATGTATCTATCTTCTCTTAAGAAGCTGTAAAAGAATACTGGGCAGGCTTTCTTCCTTTGTGCTTAACTGACATCAGAGCAATCTTGATTTCAAGTTTACTGCGCTCTCAGAAATTGGATATCCTTAAAATGAAAAGCAATAAAAACAAGAAAGTACTTCATCATAAGCAGATAGGAGAAAAATAAAGGACAAACTGATCTTTCATATTACATTCAATAACACGATGTGCAACTTCCTATCTGTTAATTTGTAGTGATGAAAATGGGATGACACCTCCCCTAACTGCGATACCTTTGCAAAGTCTAAATCAGCTATCATATTTAGCTATATATATATTTTTTGAAGTTCTAATAGCAGTATACTTCTTTGCTGGCCGTGCATAAGAATGTGAGGAAAATAAGACTTCTCTTGTTCTTTTTTTTGTTTTGTTTTGTTTTGTTTTGGGGGGGATATTTAAATCACAGTAGTTATTGGAAATCACATGTATTCTTGGAGAGTTTTGCTGGTGAGTAACTGAAACATACATCCTGTTTTAAAAAGAACTGAATTTTGAAGTTAAAATATTTCACAATTACAGATACAAACAGGATAAATGTGTATTTTTTTAAGTCCATACTGAGCAGCATGTGAAACTGTGGGAGATGAGATTTGTGCTTTGGATAGTACAATTTCAGATTTTTAAAATCTCATTTTTGAAACAATATGTAGTCTTGCAAATTATTTTTTGGTCTACTTTAATATTAACCTTTTCCTTGGAAAAATTTAGATGAGAAAATTTGCATCCCACTTCTGCAAAAGTAGTGTTAGTGACCAGTCTTGCTAAGTCATTATTTTGAACATAAGGAAAAATGGAACTTTTTGTAAGCATTTTGAGAACAATTCAATTTGAAATGATTGTGCACTTTTTATTTACAGAAATGCCTGTTCAAGTTGAGGATTACTCAAACGATAATCTAGTAGGTAAGTTATTCTTAAGTGTTGTTCACCTTCTCCCCGCCTCCCCCCCCCCAAGAAAAAACAAACAAGTTATAGCTAGGTGAAGTGTTTGCAATGGAATTACCTGGTGGAAGGGAGTGAATAATAAGGTTATTGTAATTTCAAGATGATTCCTATTTTTGAAGCAATAGTATTTATCTTGGACTGGATAAATGCTACTAATCATTATTGAGTTATGTGGAAGCAGTTCCAAATGACTACTTTTAATTTAAAAATTCAATTTAAATGATTGCAGAGAGAGAGTTGGATATTTTTTCTGTAAAAGAGAAAATAAACTTTAGATCTCAAAATATATGCCTACCTCCTTTCTAGGGTAAGTGATTGTGGGTGGTGATATAAATGTCGCTTCTCTGTATATTCAAATTTATTTTCCTTCTCTGAAAGGAGAACTAGTTTCTAGGTTTGAAGCTAGAGCATATTGTTGCATCTGGTCTGATTTTCAGAGTTAAGATTCACAAGTTGCTAGTGTATTCCTTGTAAAAATGAAGTTGTGCTTGGTGAAAACACTGGACTATATCTCTTAACAGTGAACCCACAGAAGCTGCAATCCAGGAACGCAGCGAGTTTATGCAGTTTTGTTTGCTTTGTTCTGAATGGCCAGAGTCAGTGAAAAAATAGCTGTTAAGCAAAGGAGTTTTTGAGTGTCTTTCTGTATTAGTCCTTGCAATATGCAGAACCCATTAAGTGGTGTGGTGCCCAGGTCATTCACTGATTTGTTTTATTTTATTTTATTATTCCTTTTATTTTGTGAGGAAGAAAACTTCTTGGACATGCTAATAGTAGTCATAGAAATGAAAAACATAGGATGCCTATATGATTATCCAAAACAGACTGGAGGCCTAGTTTATTTAGTGAATTAATTTACATGCTGAACATTATCTGAGAAGACTTGAAATGCTTTTATTAACACATTATGTCTGTGAGGTCTTTCTAACAATATTTATCATGACTGTCACAAGGTATTGAAATTGAAATGTTTAAAGCAATAAACAATCAGTAATAGATGCTTTATCTAAAAACATTTGGTTTCATAGCGAATATGAAACTTTTCTATCCAAAACTTGTAAACAGTATAAGGACAAGCAATAGATACCTTTGACAGCATAGACAAAAAGTTTAGTTAAGAAAGCAGTAAAATGGTTTGTTATGTTTTAAGCTGCAACTATAGAACGAGAAAAGATGTATCTGTTTTCTCTCAGAAAAATGTTTTAACTTACTACTTAAAGTTAAAATAGGGAAATAGTCCCTGATGGGACTATTGCAAAATCTGAAAGGTAGATAATTCTGCTTGCACACTATCAGCTATATTGATATGAGGGTATTGAGGTGATCTTGACTTGTATATATTTTAAAAATAATTTCAAAATCCAAGTATCAGTTCAAAATCTTTAACTTTTGTTTGGATGGATCATATTTGTGTAGCTTTTTGTGCTGTAATTTATGACTCAGTTTGTTGTAGTAAATACATTTCCCACTTTCACGAAAAAGTCTTCTATATATCGCACAGCAGTAGATGGTTTTTCAAATATTCCATGTTTATAGCTTCTTTTAATTGCAGGAGGACTTTTGAATATGATGGTGGAATTGAACATAGTTGTCCATTTTTGTCCCATTGGAATTGTCCTTCATGTTCTCCTTTTCTTGTATTGTGATTCAAAGCGAGTCTTTTCCAGTTTCATTGATTAGCGAGCATCATATTTTGCTTTTCTGAAAGGCTGTTTTTAGGGGTAGGGAAGATTTTTATTATTGTTGGGACTACTATAATTTAACTTTCATTTTACTTCAAGATACATTTCACAACCTCTTGTTTAAAACATGAAGCAATTTAATTTATCTTGGCATTATTAGCAAACATAGGATGCAGGGGACATAATAATGAATTGTCACGTTATATATAATTTAATGACTTATATTAGCTGATATGCAGAAAGTAAATTAACACAAAAAAGAGCAACTAGAAGCTAGGTCTTCTAAGTAAGGCTTAGCTGCTATGTACTCACAAATTTCTCATCATCATAAAAATTCCATGTGCTGAAATAGCAGGTATTTCTGATCCTTTGGGAATGTTTATATTTTTTTTCCTATAGTTGTTTTCAAAACAAGTGCAACACACATCTTAAACCATGAGTTTAGCTTTCAAGACAATGTTAGCTCTATCTTTGTACATCTTGTGGAAAAAAGTAATAATAATAGCAGTGGAAGGAGTGAACATTTTCTTTTATACTCAGGGAAAAAGTGAGGGAACTGATCAAAACCAGATCAGATACAGTATCATGTTCCTGATTCTTCCTCTGTGACACAATGAAAATAACATAATCAGCAGAAAATCTGCTGCAGTATATAAACGTTCTCTAATAAAAATATTGAGCGTTTTGCGTAGTTATGGAAGAACCACTTTGAAGGCAGAAATATCATCAACCAGTCATTTACAAACGGCTTATGATCAGCACATAAAGTATAACTGAAATTACACAGCATCCCTGAAAATTAAGAAAAGGAGAAGGAGACATAAGTAAATCACTACTATTGAATATGCTTTCTTGCCTTTTTATGATGTGAGAATTCAAGTTCAAAGGAAACATTTTCTTATGTCATTTTTCCTTTGATAGTATGAAATTTATATTTCCAGGAAATTTATATTGACCAGGAAGTCAAAGGGGATTTTTTTATTTTGTTTTGTCTTCTTTATGATGAAAAGGTTCATATGATTTGTTGTCAGAATTTTATTTCTCTTTGTTCATGCGACTTCAAGTTTGCAAAGCAAGTATTCCCTGTTAATTTAGCAATAATATTAAGCTCCGTAAACTAGAGAGAGTTAAGAACTGTATTCTGAATGAAGAATACCAATACAGGCATATGAACGTCTATGGTTGTATAGAAAAGTTTATCTATTTGTGAAATAGACTTAGATTCAGGTAGTTACAAAGATGTTTAGAAAATTCACTGTAGACTCCTTATTCTTGGGTACTATAAAGTAATACAACTACATTAGAATTATGGTGGCATCTGTTTGTATGAGGTTATCTGATTTTTGTCTGAAACATAGGAACTTGCTTATTTTGGCAAGAAAGGAGGAGATAGTTCAGGGGAAGAATGCAGCTGTGAGGAACATTTTTGCATGTCCTCTGAAAAGAGGTTGGGTATGGGATGTGAATATACTGGAGTACAAGTCAAAAGATTCTTGGTGACTTTAGGGCATATTACAAGAAAATTTAATACTAGGCAACTGCATCTTTAAACATCCACATGTATTGCTTTTCAATTTCTCAAATTTACTTTGAAGATTATAACTAATATAACTTACCTCCAGTAGGCTAGTTTAACTGTAGTTACAGTCCATATTTTTGTAAATTGTTGTACTTGAATGGGTAAAATAGACCAGCTTGAAATGTTACTCAGTTAGGATTTCTGGCCTATTTTACACTGACATGCAATTTGCAGTAGTTTTGATAGTGTAGTACTTGTTGGAGACATATCTGAGGGGAGATATGTTCTATTTTTTGAGATAATTTTGCTCTCTGTAATTAGATTTGGATCCTTCTTCTGTGTTTTCAGACTTAAAATATTTAAGGTTTTTTTTCCTCCCCTTTCATCTTGTATTCTTGACATTTTTGCAACCTTACATTCATTTTACCAGCTGCTGAAATCTGGTATATGTAGAGAAGTTTCCACTTTCCAACTCTGACCCTTCCTCATTCCCTGGTTCCCCTTTTCCATTTTCCTGTCCTTGGCATAAAAAATATATATATATAGATATGTATATGTATATTTTCATGTGTTTGTGACATGGCCCAGATTTCTTTTACAAATTAAATGAAGTGCCATATGCTCAGAAAAAAATTATTGTTCCTATTTCCCACCTTCTACAGCAACTTTGTGTGTATTCATTGAGTGTGATAGCTCCTAGAAATGACAGCTTTCTCAAATTTACTAGCCTCATACAAAGTTGCATTTTTTAGCGTTTAAGATGACTTTTTTTTTTTGAAGTAAGTTGTGTTTTGGTTGGTCCTTTAATATAGATTTCCCCTTATTTTTTCAGATACTTAAAGCTTCAAAAGAAAAGTCCCTACATCAGGAGGACCAGCCCTAACCATACGCTACAAAAGGGGAGCAGATGGTTGTAATAGATCTCACGATGTAATAACTGAGCAGTTCAGGGTTTGGGGAGTGAACACTAAGATATTATAAAGGGGTTATAGCCAACTGTCATTTTAGTACGCTTTTTTTAACATTTGGATGTTTAATTTACATTCCTGTCTGATTTTTTTTGTCAAGTTCAGTGATTTCATTAGTTTTATTTTTCTTCTGTGTTTGTGACGGAGTTGTGAGTTTGATCTACATTTTATATGTGCTATTCAAGCAATTTATTAATATTCTATTTATAATGTAGCAGCAAGTACATTTTTCAGATTTTAATATATATCTTTTGTTGTGGATTCATACAGTATGTACAGGACAGTTTGGTCAAATGAAGCATATAATATGAATTTTTACATGCTTTATAACTGCTGATATAGCATACAGCCTAAATGCATTTTATAGGAGACACTAATTGGGCACACACTGAGCTGTGAAGTTTGACTTATATCTCTTTGCACTGATGTTATGTCAACAGTTACACTACATCAATTTCAGGTCATTTGAAAACAATTAACAATTTACAAAATGTGTGTGTTTAATTCACAGCAGTAAAATGGCAGATAACTAAATTACTTTTTTCAGAAAATTTTGATGTATGAATTACAACTTTTCATTTATGCACATTTGATTTTAAAGCAAAAGAAGTATTGAAACTACATAATAGTCTGGCAGGGAGTCAGTGTTGATCTTAACATAGCTGAATAGCTGGAATCAAGTTGATTTTAGTAAAATTCTTCTGTTTTGCCCATCCATATAATGGTACTGTAGCGGGATTCAGGAAGCTGGATTCAGTGAACTAGTGAAAAAGTCAAATTTGCATAAATACTGGACTTATAAATAATAATAAAAAATTGGCTTTAGAAGTTTAACTTACGGAAAAATAGAGTATCAAAATTTAAGACCTACAATTGTAAATGCTCTTTTAAATGGTACATTTCTGAAATTTAGACTTTGAGTGATTTAGAATTTTAATATAACAGGTGTACTGTTTACCTATTGCATGCTGCTGTTCCACAATTATAAAGACACATTTCATTCTTTGACATTTTGCATGTGTTCCTTTTTGGCTCAGGAATAATTGCTGTGATTTTAAGAAATTACCAAGTCTGATATAGGAGATTAGAATAGAGAAAGTAAGCTAAATTTTATAGAGAAGAATCAATGTTGTAACCCTCGCAGTGGTTACCTTTTAGTTCACAGGGAGATTTAAAAAATAAAAATTCTGTAACATTTTTTGAAGTTCAGTTTTCAGTTGCTTACATTTGTAGTGAAAGAGGAATCATATATGCTTGTTTTTTGCGGGGGGATTTCAGTAAGACTCCACATGAGCGAGTGTTACATGTGAATAACAAACACAGAAGATGTCCCAAAGTGATTTCTTTGAACTTTTCAGGAAAGCAATAATACTCTTAGACTGTGATGTTATTTGGGACAGGACATTATTGCTGGAGTAAAATTACCTGTGATTGTGAATTGCAGAGCAATAATTTCTACAAAGCCATATTTTCTGAGGAAGCTTGGGAATAATTTTAGACTGGTGAATGGAGGACTTTTTATATAATAATGGCAGCCTATTTGTAGAATTATGGGACTGTGAGAGTTTATTATGCTGTGATCAAATCTTAAACACTTTGTTATTGGGTGTGTGATTTTATGTGCTTCATGTTTACAAGAATATGCCAACCTGGGCAAGGTCAATAGGACTATAAAAAATGTATATTTCATCTGTTTTAATGTTTGGCTGCAATAAAACACAGAAGAATATCTTTGTCTTTCTAGTGTCGTTTTTTGCCAAGGTGCAGTATATCATAACTATAGAGATAAATATTTACCTCAGCTACTAATTAATGTTACTATTTTTCAAATTAAGTGTTAGAATTTTAAAAAATATATTTGAAAATCCAAAAAACAAGGAGGAAGAAATCTAGCAAGCAGAAGTAATTCTCATTTCTGTGTGGTGGCATGTGAAGGAGATGGGCACTACTCTAAGGTTGTTGTCTTCTATAATTGTGTTGTGTTTCTCCTTTTGAAATATTAGCTATCCTGCAAGTAGTTCGGCCTGACTTTTGCCCAAGATGTGTAGTTCCTATTTTTACCTTAGAATGGGTAAGATTTCACTCATTAACAAAGGCAAATATGTAGGGGAAATATAATCTCTACCTTTCATAGAGAAATGCTCTACTTTATGGTCCATAGTCTAAATTAGAAGTCTAACCAGGGTGTTGTGTCTCTGCAGTCACGTGTTTTGAAATAAAAAAAATCCTTGACCATTTCAGTTTTCAAACAGCTGTGTATTCTAGTGTAGAGATAGCTGAATAAAAATTGTAATTATAAAAGTCCAAAAACCAAATACATCTTTCTTTATATTGTCACATTTCTACCTTACTTCTTGCTATGTCTCAGTGTATCTATGAGATTTTGGATTCTGTTACTTTTTTGGAAATATTAGGAAAAATACCAGTAAGGGAAAGCAAAATTTAAATTACAGTAGGATAAATAGTTTTATTTTAATATTGAAAATTTGCTGCAATGTTAAGGGACTTTTTCACTATCTCAGCAATTGAAAGTGTCGTGTCATAATTGTTTCTAAGAAGTAAAGAAAAAGGATAAGACATTGGAAAATGTCTTATTAATTAATAAATAAGATGTCATTCAATTTGTATGTGTTTGAAAAGTTATATATATGTAAAAAATATAAATTCTATTGCACATTTGTTATATGGATTGGATTATATGTAAAATCTATAAGGTATGAAATACTTTTTATATATGACATAAGTCATTAATTTTCATGCAGAATATTTCACTGACAAAAATTTAGACTTATTTTAACATTAAAAATTATTTTATTATCGGTGATAGAAATCTATTCATTTTGGTAGGACCTAGTGTATACATTGCGCAGTGATAGCAAAGCAAGACTAGAGAGACTTGTTAAGAGTTTTATCCATATTTTTGATACTAGTTTTAAGTTTCCGATGAAAATGGAGAAATTAAGGAAAGAATAGGAGTGGAAAGAAGGGCTACAAAAATCTTGATTTGAGCTATGATCGTTTTAAGTCAGTGACAGAACAGTCTCAAGAAGATTTACCATCTTATATCTCTGCCTTTGAGACAGATCATATTTTTAAATCTTTCTCAGAAACGGCGTAGTTAAAATCATTTGCACTATGAAGGCTAGCTAGAGAGCAGCGTGGAACAAAACAGTATATACTGAATATGATTCTGGAGAGAATTCTTAGTTATGAATTGTGAGAGCCAAAAGAAACAAGATTTCCAGAGCTAACAAAAGATCAAGTTTTAATAACTTTCGAAAGCAGCAACAAAGAAGGAGAACTGGGAAAAAATAAAGATCATTGGAGAGGCTTTGGTGAAACCAGTGGCAGCTAGTTTGTTAAAATACAGACTGGAAAAAGTTCTAGGAGAACGTGAAGAAATAGAGCCTAGAACATAAGTAACTGGAGGTAGCTGTAGGTAAAATGCTGCATGAGCATCAGCAATACAGAAATGGGAAACGGGACAGGAAGTGGAAGACGAGCATAGGTATTAGAATGATGAGACCAGAGCTTGTTCTTCCTGTGCTCTAACAGTACTGGTAGAAATATCATGCATGTCAACAAAGGGGCAGAAGAGGATCACTGAGTGACCTGGAGGGAATTAGAGAGGAGGTGCCTGTTGAGAACTTCAGTTTTGGTGGTAAGGGAAAAGATACAGGAGAAATGGGTGGTGAAGTAGCATTCTATATCATGGTTTACTATCCTGCAATGATTTGTTTGTGTATTGTGAGTTGGGATATTTTATATTATTGTAAAATAATAGAAATATGAGTATATAATAATAATATATGAAGCTTTCTATGTCTCATCTGGAGTTGTGTGTTTGCTCTTTTAAAAATACAGTATTTCTGTGGACAGACTGACGGATGGACTTAACCATTTATTTATTTATTGTGTTGTGCAAAAAAAAAATCTTTTTCATTTCTGACTTTCAATTTAATTGACAACATCAGGATTTCATGATGTCATTGAAGAGGTGAATGACTTTCACTGTCACCATACTTATGCAATTTTACGTTATCATAATCTGGTTAATATTCACTGTGCCTTGGGCTGAATGTAAAAATCAGAGGTGTATTATCTGCATATTCAGGAGTGGCAGTTTGTCAGCTTGTAATAAAGGGCAAAATTAGCATATGAAATTGTTTGATTTTAAGTATGTACATAACCCAATTTCTGTATGAAAAAGAAGTATTTTTTTAACATTTTAATGTGGTGATAGGATTTCACTCCCAAGAAAATGCTTCTAAACAATTTTTTCAAAAAAAAAAAAAAAGACAATATCTGGCAAAGATGTCTCTAATTTGCTTAGAAATAAAGCTTTTTTTTTCCTTTCTGCTGTATATAAGAATCTCCAAATTAAAAGACGCACAGCCCTTGAGAGGGGTTATCTTGTTTTTTTTGGAAGAGTAAAGAAATACTTGAATTGTTGTTTTTGTTTTGTTTTGTTTTTTAAAGCCATCTGTTCCTTCTTTTAATATTCTGTAAGGAGTTTATTGGAAAGAAATAATGGAAGTTTTGGGGAAAGAAATTGGGAACAGAATGACAATGTTAGAACGATGAGGCAAGATGCTTGAAATATTATGGAGTGGGGCAAGATCGAGAAGTGCTGAGAGGGGAGAAAAAGAGGAGAGAGCAAGCCTATCTCTGTAGGTACTGTTTTCATAATAGACAGATACGTGATTTGCTACAGTGCATAGTATGTCTTTTGCCATAGTATTGCTTAGTGAACATTTATCCATGCATTCAGATACTCACAAAACATGCAGATTAAATTATTTTAAAAGTTACAATAAGACAAATGCTTCCAAGTGTCCAAGTCACTTTTGAGAATGAAATTTAGGTTCCCAATTTATTTCAGTGTTTTTTACTTTTTAATCTAATATATATATTACATTAGTATTCCTGATGGTTTTTAATTGGTGAGCACAACTTTTTCTTATAAATTAGCTTGTGTTGTAAGTATGTATCACTTAAATCTACCAAATATCTAAGGGAGAAAGACTACGAAATATTTTGTGACAGAAGCAACCATGTAACACGTAAAGCATCTACAGAAAGAGACCTTTTATGTAACCGCAGTTCAGACAGTAAATTATGGTTACTTGAAAAAATAAAATCATATTTGCCTCATCATACCTAATCACATTTTAGTGTAAGCTGTAATTTTATTTGTAATGTAACTTCATTTATTTATGAAAACATTTTACTATTCTGCTTTTATTTTGACTCTTGTTCATAAGCTACTAACATAAATTTATTTCATTGAAATTATATTTTTAATATTCTAGGAAAAAGTGAAAAAGAAACTGAACAAGAAATAAAAGAAAAAGGTAAGTCTATTGTATTTAAAAAAATAATATTCTGTTTTGCTGAAATTCCAAAGTATGCCTTCTGGGGGAACTAATTTAAATTAGATTAAATAGTATTGATACTTAGTTCCTGGTTATCTTGCATAGATAAACTGGATTTGAGCAACCATACAGTGTGCCTCTGTTTTTGTAAGTAAACAAACATGCAGTTAGTTCAAAACTCAAATTTCCCTTGTAGATGGTCACAAGTTGCAATAATCCAGCCTCAGTAGATCCTTCTGACAGGGAATGGGGCCTTCAGAAGGCTGCTGTTGAAAACTCCTGCTGTTTCAGCCTACATCTTTTTACATATATATGTAAAAGATGCATATACATATGTATAAAGTTGTTCAGCAGCAGAGCCTTGCAGGGCACCTTTTGTGATGATATGTTCCCAGGTAGTTAAAAGCTGCCTTTTTTGGTGTTAACCCTTCTTTCTTTCAGAAATATTGCATGCATATCTGTATAAGACTACTTACTGCAGTGTCCCAAGCAGAATTTAAGATTTTATATTTTTATATTTTTGGTTGAGTGAGGCTCTTTGTAAAGGTGTAGTGTGTTCTTTATACGCTTTATTTTAGAAGCGTTTGGGGAAATCTTGAAAGCAGTGCAAAAGAACATCTTTTTGCTCAATGTTTATATGGCAACCGGCATAACAGAGACATTGTTCTTGTTTTAAGGAATGAGCCCCAATTTTGCATCAGTAGTAGAAGTCAGATTTGTATGTTTGCTGTTTGTCAGTATTCTATTCCTAGTTTAATGCTACACAGCTCAAAGCATCACCATGCAGTTCAGAGATCTTTGGATGAGAGGCAACCTGAGCTATCAGGGCCCAAAAGCCCAAAAGCCCAGTGCTACGCGCTGCGCTCGGCTTGCAGGCACAATATCTGGGTTTGTGCAGCATGCTGCCAGCCTTAATAAAACTTGTCTTAGGGTAGTGAAAGCAGCCTATGGATGACAGTGCTTAATAGCTTAGGTGTACTGTCACATGTCCTGAATTATTTTGATTTCAGACCTGAGTTGGTTTGTAGCTCTAAGCAGATGCAGCCGAGGTGTAGTTATATCCATCCTTGCATACAGCAGAATGTACTGCAGCAGAACATACTGTCTGGGAAAACCGGTAGGTACTTTAGAAAGACACCAGATGGCACTAAAATCAGTCTACTTCAATTCAGTGTTTGTCCTGTAAGAGTTTCTGTCTAGTCTAGATTAGGACAAAAATATACAGAGACAGATTTAGTGGAAAAGTGAGTGGTGCCAAGAGGGCTGCAAGTCTCTTCTTCCTACACTCACATGGATGTTAGCCATCTGCATTTCCTATCACTGCATGAAGTTTGCACAATCCCTGTCACTTAGGTCAGCTTTGTATTTGTCCCTTGCTGTATGGTTACACCTGATGTTACAAAAAGCCTTGGACCTGTGTCTTCTCTCAGGCATGGCCTACAGAATAGTACCTACCGAAGAAAGCTCCTTCACTACTTCCAGATGGAGAAAAAGACAGTCAGTAATCCTTTTGCTGGCTGCTGCTCCTTTGCATCCTTTAGGAACATCCTTTTCATTATCCTGTGCAGCTGTTATTTTTATTTTTGATATCTGAATACTTGGCAATGATATATTTTATGATCTTTTGATACACCTTATTGGTTTTGGTTTTCTATATTTGCACTTTAAATGTAAGCTTCTAGGGCCTTCAAGCCCTTCTGTTTAGGTATTAAATATTAATATTTAAGTATTAAATATGGCTAAAGTAATCATTGCTTTTAAATATTTGGACATGTAAAGCCTAAAAGAAAGTATTTACTGCTTTAATGGTGGATCATACAACATTTGGTTTCCACTGCTGCGGTCTTCATTGTACTTGATTTGCATAATATCTTTAAAAGAGTATACTTTTCAATAATTTTTAATAATACTTCATCACATTTATTGAAAGTTTCACTGGAAACTTTGACTGAGTTTTGCACCACTCGTATTCAGAATGAAATGAACAGCAAAGACTAACTTCCACAATAACAACTTCTAGAATATAAATCTTTTTCAGAATATATCAAGCTGGGCTTTCAATAGGTTTAATGACATTGAATTTTTGTTATAGGAGGATTTATGTTCCATGAAATTTTAAATTGATTTTCATGTTGATTGATATAGAAGATGTGGAAAAAAATAAACGTTCCTGGCAAACTCTTACAACTGGTGTTTGATGGGATACAAAGCTATTGAGTAATTAAAAAGATTGTATCATCCACTACTTTTTTCAGTCTCTACTGTCTTCCCAACATTGTTTCTGATTAATTATCATTTTTGATTGAAGTCTGTATTTAGAGGCTGTGTATATTGTGTACTTCAATTTCTTTACCTGCATTCCAGATCTCTCTTTTTGAAAAACACAAGCAGATGTAAAAAAAAGAGGTATATGAATAGATTGCTCACTAGTTTCTTGTTGACTTTTTGTTTTGGGATTTTCACTGATATATTAGTGGCAGATGATAGCAACTCTAGCAAATTGTTTCCACTTTCATCAGCTGGCACTTGTTCAGTATAGTTACTTAAGTTTGCCTGCTCAGTTGAAGTTATTGGTATTTTAAACTCTCTGTACATTGTTAGCATGCATAGCTCCCTTCCACTATGGACTTGTTAAATTCCTGGGGCTTTCTTTGTTTTTGCTGTAAATAAATATATGAGGTGTATGAGTCAGTATCAGGTGAAGGCACATTTGCTTGCACTGAAACATAGTTGCAAAAGTTATTAAGCTACTGGAATCGTACAGTTCCTTTACAGAGTCATGAGAACTTGAAATAGGTAGCAATCTAATGATCTTTCTCACTTGATGCCCTTCTGGATAGAGAATGACTAGAGATCATTTTGCTATTAGTTTGTTATGATTTTCCTTTTTATTATCTATCTACCCCCCCAAGTATATTTCTGAAGTGAAGTAACTTTATACACTTAAGGAAAAAGCTACTGAGTTGCAATAGTGTGTGTGACATAGAGAAAGTTAATTTAGACAGTCTACAAATTAAAAATGCATATTGCAAAGGATCTGATATTTTCTGGGTGAGTATCTGTCTCTGTCTAGTAAGAAAAATCCATTATTCAGAACAAGGAATTCTTTATTGCTATCTTAGAAGATAAAATAAATAACTTTCTTTTAGGCTATCTTCCAACAGAACATCAGTAATGTTTTGTAATCTTCTTTGCCCTCTAATTTCTGTATTAACTTCATGAATGCTCCTCAGAAGAAAACAAAATTAAAAATTATGTGTAGTCTAATAATACCTCAAATTTTCTCTGTTCTACTTAATTGAGAAGGATTAACTGCCTTATTTGCAAGATGATCATCAGACATCATGCTTCATCAAGTAATTGAAGGAGCTGGATATTTCAAATGTATCGATTATTTAAATCATTTCACTGGTAGTACAGTCCAGGGCATTTATACAACATCCTTAAGGCCTTTTTCGATATGAGCTGTAGTTAGCTGTTTTTCGATCATATAGGCGAGTGAAAATTAAAGTAAGGAGCTTCAGTTTTCTACTTTGGCTTATATTGTCATGTATTGAATATTCATTGATACTGCTGAAGAAAGGATCTGAAAACTGGAACAATCATTTTCTACAATTGGTGTTTTTCTTTCACACACTGAACGTTATCAAAGGTAATTAGAAAAGTAATTTTTAATTTTCAAAACTGATAAAACATGAAAGTGAAAATGTATGCCACTTGGTTGAAGCAGTTACCTCTGTCCCTGATGCAACTCAGTTATGCGTAAACCAGACATAAGACATTTTCATTCCACAAGTGGCCCTGCAAGTGTCATTCTGCTACCAGGGTTGACATGCAGCTCACTTAACTCTACATGTCTGCATTTGAGCAAGATATGTAGGATTCCACGGATGCTGGTGAAGATCTAATCAGTATAATCTGTGGAGTTTATAATGCTATTCTTATGGCCAGATGTAGGTGTTTGCTATAGGGCGAGATGAATCACACCTTAAACTCCATTAACAACCTTGACCAGCTCCATTGGCTGCAGAAGGAGCTGACACACTTAGCTCGCCTCAAGTCAGGGGAGCTGAGCTCCAGCTTTACAAACTCTACTTTTAAAAGCGTGCACACTCTACTGATTAACTTATTTAGGTATTTAATTAAAGCCTGCATCGAATGTGAGCCGTGGACAGAATGATCAATGTTATGCTTCATAGAAGTACTGCGGTTCTCAAAGTCCAAAAATGTTGCATAACACTATGCTAAACTAAATGTATGCAACACTAAAATATTAGTATGTACTTTTGTACGGAAAATCAATGAGGAAATTCATCTCTGAAATTCAGTCTGGTTTGTCTAAGGGTTGCCTAATTCTAGCCTTTGAATGAAGCCAAAACTTATTATGGTGAAAAAGAGAGATGAATGATGGAAATACATGCCAAAAATAAAGTTATTGTTCTGTAATTGTTTCTTATGAACAACATCTAACTAACAAAAAGTAATTTCAGATGGAAAATCCTGTAGAACAGTTTTTACTGCAGTGGAAATTGTTTCTAGAGTTACTGCTACTAAAGATTTATTGTAGTCATTAAATTCAACAGCTTTATTAGTCACTAAAATGCCTCAGTTTTTATTCTCTGATTGCTTCCTCAGATAAGCTAATTACAGAGATTTTGCCTGTTCTACTAGTAGATTTTAGAAAGATCTTTAAATTGTCATAGTGTTGCTGGCTTTAAATTGTCTAGCTGTAGTTACTTGTTTTTCATATCTTCTAACTTTTTATTTAAGGAAAACTGTAAAAACAAGTGGATCACTTAGGCTGTCTGTAATTCACCAAGTGAGTTTCCCAAAAAATGGAAAAATTACCGTTTTTTTTTAAATCATCATCAAATTCACATTCCTCAGATGCCTACTGAATTGCCCAGTTCAGATGCCTATCTTTTACCCGAACAAATAAAGTGTCCATCCGCAAGTTCCCAAGAGCACTATTACCAAAA